TTCACTGTGTATATTTCATAATTCCTCATCTTAAAGACCTAAGAACTATGGAAAAGTGCCTTTAGTATCTTAATTCTAAGTAAATTAATTACTTTCTTCAATAAAATGAGGGTTCTTAGATCCTTAAGTTTTCTGTGGATGGACTTTCGCAAAAGAAAAAACTAGCCTTGGTGCTACCCCATAGGTAATTGTTAGTCAGAAGTCACCCTCCTTTCTGCACTGACATTTTTTCCTTGGCACTGATATTTTTTCACCTTTTGAAAAAGTTTCATACTAAGAAAACAACGATTCATTGGCTGTGAAGATATTTTTGTCTAGGTTGACATTATGAGTACCAATAGGAAAATAGCTCAAGTTTTGCCTAGTAGAAGTAGTTTGGAAGATGCAAAGGGAGAATAGATTTGATTATCCTCTTCGATTAGTCAGGGAAAAAGCAGATGCAGCACTGCTGAAATCAGTGAAGTTAAAATTGAGTGAGATCACAGTCAGCCCTTATGTGTTAAAGTGAGCATGGGTTCTTGTGCAGCATACTTTAAAGAGCCATAAATTTTAGCTCCCAGGTGGAAATCAACCACTCTTGCATCCCAGAGCAGCTATCCTGCTGTGCAGGGATTACTTATTAAGCCCTTTTATCTTAAGAGATTTGTCAAGGAGTTTATAGACTGAAAGGGGCCAGGACAGGAGCTGTAGAGGAAATTTTGTTTTCTGATCTATTATCCCCAATGACTCACAAATCTTTTCTATATAGATCCTGTACCCAGAGAGAACAACCAAGGGTAAGAGATACAGTTCTATCACCATATTCTGCCTGGGCACCATGGCAATTTCCAGAGACAGACAAAGCTAAGAAGCCTAGTGCCCTGTTTTCCTCTTACCATCCCTTTCCCCAGTCTTCCTTTCTAGTTGTCTCACTGCTTTGACTGGTGCTGATCTCAGAATGGTGATGGGGTTGCTTACACTTTCAACATCTCTCAGGGAGGTGCTGTGGGTGTTTCACCAGGGCCACTCTGGGTGAATAATTCTGGAGCCTTCATCAAATTCCAGATTTAGATCATTAGATTGCAACATTCTTCAAGCTGCTCTTTTGTGATGAGAAAGGCTGAGATTGAGAGGCTTGGCTGATGCTGATGGCAGGCAATGCACAATGGGACCAAATATCATTGAAGTGTTGGGATCATAGTACTCCTGCTACTTTTGATGCAGGTGGAAGGTACAGCCAAATGACTTCAAAAGAAATTATTTGCCTGGCCAACATCCAAAGGTGGTGTACATACTGTACGAAATCAGGTGGAGCAGAGGTACCATCTGGAGGAACTGGTGCACAAACAATTCTACCCAACATGCTGAAGTCAACTTCTTGGAAAATTGTTTCAAGGCCATGCCATCAGTTTCTTGTTCCATCACTTGGGTCCTATCTACTACCCCCTGTGGAAAATGCTCCAAAAGAATTCAGGATTTCCTGCGGATATACCCCAATGTGACCTTGGAAATACACGCAGCCAAGCTGTTCAAGCACCTGGATACGCGTAACCGGGAAGGTCTCAGGAACCTGGCAAAGGATGGAGTCATTATACATATCATGAATCTTGCAGGTAACCCAACTACTCTTTGGCTTTGTCTCGGTGTGGATTGAAAGTTCTGGGATTCTGTGTACTCTCAGAAGTTGTGCTTTGGAATAGTGGTGATGACTGGCATCGGGGAGGACTAGTGCGAAAATGCCACTCTCTTCTGCCTTATTTCTTCTCCAGTCCCATACAGCAGCAGGACCAACATGTTCATTTCCTCTTGCCAAATATGAATAAGGAGAGTTCTGTCTTTCTCTACCCGTCCATGGCTCCTTTAGATACAGTGAAAAGTCCTGAGCGCGATAGAACCTATCCCTCCTAGTGCATACATGCAGATCAGCTTACCAGCTGCAGCAAGTACTTGGTTTCCTTGAGAGCTGGAGAAAAGAAAGAGACATATCTAAAGGAGACTTTCAGATGATGCATCACAGAGGACAATTTTGTCTTGCCTGTGTGTCTTTTTGTATGTATATCTTGCTTGCCTGTTGATGTTTGGCTGTAAAAATAGTCCAGACAAGTAGCTCACAGAAAGGAACGTACATTTGAAGAGATGAATCTCACATACCTGTCTGGATACTGTGCAGCTACAAAACCTGCCAGGTCAAATGTAAAATTAAAGGACACTGCTTATCTTGGGGAACCTGACTGTGGGATTATACCACCAGAGTACTGACAGAAGCTGTGGCCTTCCTGTCAATGCTATAATCAATATGAAACTGCTGAATGTTAGGATGTTCACTCCAGGTTTTCCCTGATCATCGAGATAAGTCAGACAGATTTATGACTGAAGCAACAAGCTTATTGTCTTACCCAAAGCTGCTGTGATCAAGCACAAGGCTGTCAAAAGGTATGCATGCATAGCCCCAATTGCATGTGCCACTTCCCTTTTCAGTTCCTCCCAAAGAAGCAGCCTTCCACTCGCTGATTCCTTCTCCCTTGGCCAAAGTGCTCTGGCTTTATGCCCTGGTGTGCTATCTGTGATAGGGGTTGCCCAAGCCACTGTAGTGATGTCTCTCTCTCTGACAATTCCCCTTTATAGACATATTGCTATTTGTAGAGTTTTGGTTCCCTTTTCCACTAAATTATTTGTGTAGTTGCAAGTCATTGTTGGTCCCTTGCATGAATACACTCAGATGAATATCTTTCTCCTGCTCTCTACTGTTGTCTTACTGAGAAAGAAGTGACTCACTGGCATATTCATGAAGAAAGAACTGGGCATGCCTTTCATCAAGAGTGACTGGATATCTCTCTTCTCAGATTACAGTTACTGGTGGAAAAGATTTGTTGCATACCAACAAGGAGAAGACGATTATCAGCCCTGGAGCTTCACTTCATACATCTTTCTGAATCAGATGGAGCTCTGTCATATCCTTTGGGTTAGTAGGGACTTGAAGGAAATGCTGAGAGTGAAACGTAATGCAGAATCCTAGGGAAAGGAGGTTTGGAGGATCCTAGCAATGGTGTTAGCAGACATGATGTAGGAAAAATAAGCATGGGCTTCATGCTACATGAACAGAGGGCCAAGCGGGCAAGAGATTGCCAAGGACTATGCTGCAACATTGTGCCTCTGTGGCCAGTAGTAGAGAAGATATTTAGCAATACTCTCAGTTTTTTTACTAAGGAAAGAGTAAATAATTTCAACCCTTTACATGAATCATCTACAAGTTCATTAGCTCACAGCTTACTGGAGCTATTTTATCCCAAAAGCTCATTCAGCTGTGTAAACATGATTCAAATACACTCTTCTTGCCTCTTAGGACAGGGCCACTGATTTTAGTTAAGTTCTGAACAAGTTCAAAAGCCCAGACGGGTGGATTCACTTTCAGGATCAGAGCTTACACATGAGTATCATATGACTGAGATCTTCATTCCCTATTTCTTGCAGTCCATACAACTACAGGAGTTATTTGTATGGCCTGATATCCTCCTACACAAGAAAGAGAAGGTGATCTACTGAACAGAAGAGAAGACCAGGACTGGAGTTAACTTCCTGGCTCAGCCACCCGTTGTGGGGCAAGCCAGTTCTTGCTAGAACTGGTCCCCGTACATAAAATTGGGGCTATCAGAATGGACAGCAAGAGACAGAGGAAGGAATGCACAGAACTACGTAATAAAGACAGGAACTTCAGTTCTAGAAGGAGAAAAACTAACCTGTTTGTAGGATGCTAAAATGCCTTGTTTTATTTCTGACTGAGGAAAACGTACACATTAGACTTAATTTCAGTTCGATCCGCCCTAAAATTTACATAGGTCTTTTAATAGCTCAGGACCTCATCTTTCCGATTCTGTCTGAATAAGACATTTAGGTGACAGGATACACAGTCAGTGGCATTATCCAGTCAGTCAGCTAATCTAACAAAGTAGTTAATGCAAGGCAACTGTTTAGGAGATATTTTTCCCTTGGCTTTCAGCCTTCCTGAGTCTCCTAATGTCTGAGATCATTAAATAATTTAGCAGCTTATGCACAATGAAATGTGTAGTGATGCTTACCATGGAGCTAACAGAGCTGTCTGGTAAATGCTTGTGAGTACTGACAAACTACAGCCAACTCAGCACAGTTCCCAGGGCAGCAGTACAAGGCAAATATGCCCTTCAGGTCTTGGTTTTATAGAGCCAGCTAACAAATGACCTGGCCCTCCCTGTGCTCCTGGAAACCTTGCTGATTACTGCAGAGCCCTGGTGGATAGCAAGCCTTTGCTGGGACACTCATGCTGAAAGTCAGGCACTTGCTCAACTGCTTTGCTGTCTCAGCCAAACTCAAGCCACCCCTAAAAAGAAGGTGAATAGGGCCCATTATCAGTAGTTCGGACTAACCACCAACCCTCCGTAGAAGGAACGGGAAGGTCTGTGTGCTCAGCCCTTGTGAACACCCAGCCCCGTTGTACTAGTTGTGCATGTTCAGACAAGTCTCACTGGCCATTGCCAGCTGACAAACACTTGGGGCTGACCAAGACCCCCTGAGCTTAGAGGTGTAATGAGGAGAGTTCATACCAAGCGCATGTTCCAGAGAAATGCAGTTGTGTCAAGTTCTGGCCTCTCTGCCACAAGAATGGCAGCGAGGAACCAGAGAGGGTTTGCTGGAGTACCACTGCAATGGTCAGGGTGCTAAAGCAGTTGCCCTACAAGGAGAGGCTGAGGGAACTGGTTTTGTTAGACCCAACGAAAAGCAGGCTAAGTGGGATCAAACTGCAGTTTTCCACTACACAAAGGCGGTGAAGACAGAGTCAGATTCTTCTCAAATCTACAGATAGGCAACATGAGGCAACAGGCACAAGCTGCAACAAGGGAAATTCACTGGACAGAAAGAAAAAGTCTCCTCTGACAGTGGTGCAGTACTGGAACAGGTGCCCAGAGAGGCTGTCAGACATCCATCTCTGGAGACGCTGAGAACTTTCTTCTGAGCTGCCTGATCTAGCTTTGGAGTTAGCCATGCTGCAAACACATTGTTGAACTGTGGACCTCTAGAGGGCCTTTCTAACCCCCCAAAATTCTACCTCTCCACAGGACCTAGCTCCACTTTCCCTGGCTTCCATTTTGTAATCCGCCACCTTTCGAATGATTCTGTTTCTGAGTGGTCTGTCTTTCTAGGAGGGGTTTATATGGCACAGTAAATTCCAAGGTGCTACCCTGTTGTCTAGAAAGCTGTGTCCCAAGGGAGATTATCTGACACGCTGAAGGTGGATCAGAGCTATCTCTTGGACTAGATTATGTATTTTCAAACTCTAGACCATGTTGAAGAGACCACTTCAGCTTTTGGCATCTAATTTTTAACATTCATGTTTCTTTCCTCCTGCCAGGGGCTCCCTCCATTTCTGGCAAACTTTGAATACTAGCAAGCACCAGCAGCATGCTTTCAAGCTCACTTTGTGCATCATGACATTATTTACAAGACTGGTAAAGCCAGTCCCTGGCAGTCGTCCCTACTGCAGCCTTGAACTATGAGCTTCACACTGTGACCAAAGAAGAGTCTTATCACTGGCTGGGCATCGCTAAGTATTGGACACAGCAGAAGGAGCACATGAGAAACTGTCGGGAAGCTGAGATGATGCATCCAGGCAGCCAGGACGCAGTGCTCTGGGTCTTTGCAAGGCTTTCTGAGAGTCCAGTGGGGATGGGAACCATGTCCCAGGATCAGGCCTTTCATGTCTGCTATTCTGCAGTCAGATTCTGCAAGTACCCTCTTGAGAGGCCAGTGAGTAACATTTTTCCTCCTCTGATCTATTTCAAACAAGTAATCAGAGCAGCACATTCCGGTTTTTAATAATTTGTTATGAAGATCACTTTCATGGCACTGTGTGTATGTTTCAGAAAATACTTAATGCTATTAGTATTTATATAATACTATTATTTTATGACTAACTTTATTAGAATATAACATAATTATATTACTGAAGATTATGTTACTTCATTTTAAGGTTTTATTCTCCTTGCTTTTATGACTGTAGAAACAACAGAATAAAAGGGAAAATGTCAACTCTGCGGAAACTTTGCTTTTCTTGTTCAGTTCCTGGGCACACATCCTTCCCTTGTAATTCCACACCCTGCAGTCCCAGCTGTTCATTGCAAACTGGGGGAACACAGCAAAAAAATTGCTTCTTTGCCAGCTGGAAGCACTGATTGGACTGATTGTAATGGTGAGGTAGGAGATAGTGAAAGCTCTGAGCTATCTCTACAGGCAGAAGTCAAAAAGGAGATACAGGTGTGTTGGGTCTTGCAGCAGTTTTCCGTTTACACTGCACATCCGAATGAATCATGTTGGGATCTCCACGCTTCATGATTCCCAGCCCCTCCAAGCAGGACCTCCACTGTGTGATCCCACTGGGGAATGCGCTGCCACTGGGATCTGTAACATGCAAGCACAAATGACTGTTTGAAGAATAAGGCAGGGGCTGGTGGGAACCATGTCTATCTTTTCTAGCTGATTAATGCTTATAGCATCCTTTGGCCAGGCCAAAGTCTCCAGATGTTTACCAGACAATCAAGATGGGCAGAAAAGTTGGAGGCTGAGGAAGCAGCTCCAGCCCTTGCTGTCTGGGAGGGTATCGAAAGCTGAGTGCAGCTGGCTGGGGGGTGTCTCCTACGTTAACCAAACAAAATTACTCCAAGCAATGTACAATGTGGATAAAGTTTTTTTCCCCTGTCCAGGACCTCAGGCTGGATGTCACATGCCTTCTTTCTGGCCATTCTAGCATTAATTCTTCGTTTCCTTAGGGAGAAATCAAATAACTCGATCAACATACTGAGTACCCTGGGGTCTATAACCATTCAGCAAAATAACTTATAAGTTACTGGTCTGCTATGGAATGTGGAAACGGGATTTGAGCCTGATCAACATATATATCTTCAAACATCTTCATTTGTGTCTTGCTTTGAAGCCCCATTATGCTGCAGAATTTAGCTGAGTCCCATCTGAGAATCTTGAAAGTACAACAGCACAAAGCTATACAGCAATGTGTAGCGTCCATGGCCAGTGCAAAATGGAAACCCTAAGCGTTAAGAAAATCTGCAAGACCTGAAGACCCATCCATGCCTCTTGCCACGGCTACCTTAGCATCAGAGAATCTTGCTCACAGCTTAGCATCACACAGGGAAAGTTTTACCCATAGCAATGTGGAAATTACTGACACATTACTAGTTCACATGAAATAATCTAATAATGGTGGCAGGGGTTGCTACGTTTCTGTACCTTAGAATACATAACACAGTCAGACTTCGAGATCGGTGTACCTAAAACTCCAACTCTCTGGAGTAAGATGGCAGATTGGATGGCCCAGGTCTTTGAAGTAGGATGATGACATTGCCTGGAGATTAAACAAGATGTGAATTTGAATTAGGAGTGGAAGGTGGGTTGATGGGAGAGAATTCATTTGAGAAGATTCAAGAAAGACAATAGGAGCCTTCTGTAAATAGAACTAGGTGAAGGGGATTAGATGGTCCAGAAGCCAGGGCTGTGTCAACTGCATTGTTCTACATGAGAAAGG